CCCCCACCCCAAAACAGTGTTCTTCCTGATTATTTTAATTTTGATCAAGGTATTAACATTTTCCAGTTTCTCCTAGTCTGAAACTCTGAAGTTATCCTTAATTATTCTTTCTTGTGCTTCTACACCCTTGCCCTTCTCCCAACTCACCCCCAACACACACAGTTGTCAAGACTTTTATGCTTTGTCTTCAAAATGCTTTCCCTTTGCTCACCTTTGCTCAGCCCCGTTGTGTCCTGACTCTGAGCTTTAACTGCCCTTACCTAGATTCTAGTCCCCTCTCCATGCTTAGCCACCCAGGATATTCCTACAAGTCAGTTCTGAACCTGTCAGGCTCTGTTCCACAAACCTTGAATGACATACTTCTGACTCCCAGAAGGACAGCTCCCCTAGCTGACATTTAGGCCCTCAGGACTCTGGCATGATCTGTCTCTTCCCTACCTGTCTCCTCTTCCTAGTGTTCTAAATGTGGAGCTCTGACACCCAGAAACCCCATCATCACTGAAATTTCACCCACTTTCAACCCAGTCTAAAGGTCATCTCTTGGCTTTGGTGGTATAGGTAGGGGAGTACCAAGTAGATAGTATGCCATTCCAGCTTGCTGAGCTGGTCACCCCATAATACCCAGGAGGTCTGATGAACTGATGGATACAAACTCAAGTTGCCCACCCAGATGGTGTGCTGCATCCCTTGACTGGGCCCAGCCATCCTTCACTTGAGATGCACATGTCAGGTCACTGTGCCTCTGGTCCGAAGCTGGCAGGGAGAGCTGTCCCATGAATGGCAGAAGGGAGCTGAAAACATCCTCTCATGCTGGAATGAAAGCAAAACCAAAACAGAAAAACCAACCAAAAAGCTCAGCAAAGACTCATATACTATTCTGTATTGACATTGCAAGTGTGAATTCAGTGAGGGGGAATGAGGAAAGCAAACTGTCATGGAGGTTACTTAAGATTTCAAGAGTTTGGATGGACATTGGGCTCCATCTGAACCAGCAGAGGGAGTTTCAAGAGTTTGGATGGACATTGGGCTCCATCTGAACAAGCAGCCAAGAGAGTGGATGTCATGGTAGGTTTTGTGATGGAGATGTGGTATGTGGGGCAAAGGAAATGGCCATACCCCCATTGCCCACCCATGCTGGCCAGGGATTGAGGTCTGATTGGGCAAGTCATGTCAAGGAGAAATGGACAAACTGGAGCAAGCCCCAAGGTGGATCACATCCACAACACAGGGTGGTCTTGAAATCAGGACAACCGAGGCACAGTTGAACATTTGGCTGAAAAGAAAAGTTGGAAGGAACATGAGAGCCATCTTCACACACTCAAAGGGCTGTGCCCAGCTTTTTTAAGGGAGTTGATCCTGCTGTGTGGCTAAGGAAGGCAGAAATGGGGTCACTGAATAAAAACAATCCAGATTTTAGATAGATTTTGGAAATAATGTTCATTGCATCTGTGCATCTGTGTGGTACAATTATGGGAGAATTTTCATTTTTCTCCTTTACTTTTTTACCATGAATATTTTCTTACTTATGATTTATGGAAGTATGTGTTTTGAACTGGAGTGAACTTTTGGGGGTTTTGGCAGTTCAGCACCTATTTCTCCTGCTTCTAGTCTTTGTCTCCTGATTTTGCTTTGAGGGGCATCCCGACACACAGTCTCAGTGGTTTGGGGGGAGCTGGCCCACCCCCAACTCCAGGGGTGTTCCTGTAACCCAGACCTGGCTTCTCAGTGTACTCCATCCCTGGCCACAGTGATGAGACTGGGTCCCAGCCTGACTTAAGCTGGGCTTATCAGAGTTGCCCATAGTAGGAAAGATGCTCTTTTTGACCTCAGTCACTGAGCAGATAGGAGCTCTTAGCTATAGTGCCTGTCTTTCCCTCACAAGGGGAAAGCCTGTCTGAAAAGGAAGAGAAGACTGAGGAAGGCCCAGCCGGGAGAGAGTGGATGGTGTCATTTGAGCCTCTACATCCAGCCTTGCCTAAAGCCAGATCTACCTCCAGGACATTTTAGTTAGATGAGCATCCGATCACCTTTTGCATCAGCCAGGTTGTCAGTTTTCTGTCTCATACCCAAGGCAGCTCCGAGGACTACTGACTAATACAGGTTTTGTCTGTTGCTTGTCCTAACAATGTTGGAGCTGTTTGGCAACAGAATGACTAGAGATAGCGAAGAAAGGTCACAAAATGCCTGATTGGTTAAGGATCCTGAGAGTGACTCTGGAGGAAAGGGCCTTAGATGTACTTTCAGACTTTGAGCCTGTTCCAGGTTCATTGGCGAATGCTTCTTCTCCCCTCTGGAACATTCTGTGTCCTTTCCCAGGTCCCCTTCACTCTGAACACATCTCACAAGCTAACCTGTGCCAGAGCTTCTACCGCCATGTGCTATTGGCCCTATTAAGTCGTGACCTCTTTTAGTAAATGTGGACTCTGAGTTTTCTTTCTTAACTCTGTTAGTGTTTATAGGAAGAAAGGGAGGAAAGGAGAAAAAGAAAAGAAAAAAAGAGGAAAGAAAAAGAAATTGCTTTTCATGGTATTTTAAGCACTTCATTGTGAAGCTCCCTTCATCTTTTAATCAATTCTTGATTTCTAGTCATTCCTTGCTGTGTTTGCTACATTTTACAGTCCAAAATGCTCCCATATGTCATTCTTTTTTAAAAAAAATTAAATCTGTAGAATGACAGTGCTGTTTAGATGTCCTGTACTGGAAGGTTTGGAACTCCGGTTCTACCCTCTCCTGACTTACTCTTCCTGCTTACCTTTCTGTTGACTGGTGATTTTATCCCTTTCCTTAATAAGTCTTTTTTATCAGAAGGAAGTACTCAGACCTACAAGTATTAAGATCTTAGTATCAGGGGACAATTGTGGAGAATCCTTCCAGAAGTATTTAGACAAGTGGCACTATTGTCTTGTCTAATTTTCCAAAGGAAAATCAGATAATGAGAATGTCCTCCCCAGCAAGTTATAGAAGCAAATAATCCGCCTAAGATAAGGCTTTTCTGTTTGGGTTTTTTTTTTTTCATCAGAGATTTGACATAAAAAAAAAAAAACACCCTTTTTTAAAAACCCACCCTAGATACCTTCTATCTTTTATTATTTGGAAGTTTTTTTCGTTGTTTTTTTTTGTTTGTTTGTTTGTTTGTTTGTTTGTTTTTTTGTCTAGACATTTCTTAAGCAGTTCGAATGGTGCTGAGTTTATTGTGACAGGTCCAGCTGGCCCAGATGCTCCCCAAAGGGCCTCTGCATTGCAGCATATTTTAAATAGTAGTCGCTGCCTCCAGGGATGAGATGTTTAAGGGAATGATACCGCCTGCCTCTGCGTTTAAGCACTTGTATTTAATTATTACTGAGAACCCATGTGTACAGCTCTCTCTTAAGCTCTATGGGAGAAGAGGCCATGCCATGGGGCACTGTCCTGGCTCTAGGAGGTCATAATTTAAATAGACAGGACACATGTGCAACATACAACTTCCCTTCAGCTGGAATCTGAAATCAGGGATTCTCTGTCCTAACCACACATTACCATCACATAGAGAGATTTAGAAAGAGTAGGAATGCCTAAGCCTCAGGTCAGACAATTAAATGAGAAATACCTCATTTCTCAGACCTCAGATATTAATATTCTTAATCTCTCTCCCCATATGATCATAAGGAGCTATCAACTTTGAGAAACTTTGGCCTAAATCCTACCTGTCTCTAAACAGAGGGACCAGTTTCCTCTCCCTGATTCCTCAGCCAGAAAGAAAAATTATTATTGATTGTTCTAAAGGTCCTCGTGTTTCCATCAAAGTGACATGCAGACCAAGGAAACCAGACTGAGTCCTCTTTCCAGAAACATCAAGGAGGAGGAGAACATGACAGGATAGGCAACACATTGCAGCCCCTGCCCACACCTGGAAGTTTCTTTACCCAGTATGGAAAGACAAGGGCCAATCAGCCAGGCCTTACATGAGGGAGCTTAAAAGTCATGGTCAATCCAAATACAACTCAACCTTCAGACTAACCATGTATTTCCTGGCAGCCCCATGAATTGCTTGAAAGTATCTCTGTTCCTAAACATGGGATCCAGTAGTTATCTGGACCCAAATGAGAAGTACATTTCACTTCACAGACCTGGAATCTTCCAGAAGCCACAGAGGCTGTCCTAGATTTTCGCCTCCTAGGCTTCCCTCTTTTGACCATGTTTCCATCTAGTGCAGGTGCGGAGCCCTGTCTCAGGAGGCGAGCTGGACCACTGTGTCCCAGAACAGACATTCTTAGGCACTGACGCTCCTCCTGGCTGGGAGATGAGGCTGTCTTGATTAAAGTTGTCTTTTATTTCCCTTTGTCTGGGTGAGCCCATTCGGCCAGCACTAATCCACTTGTCCAAAGGACTCTAACCTAATCGCCAGCACTTGCAGCCAAAGCCTCTAATGCCCTGACCCATCTTTGTAATTGTTCTGACCAATATATCTGCCTCTTCTCACTGACAGCTCAGGCCAGGCCAGGCTCCAAGCTGTCCCTCAGAAGGTGATTAATCAAGAACATCAGAGCAGGGGAGACGCAGACTGGAAACTTTTTATATTGCTAGGGGGGAGATAAAGCCAACTCTGAGCAAGAGAGACGTAAGCTTCCAAATCATTGTTCCTAAGGGTACATGCAGGATGCTTTGTTCAGAAGCTAGCAAACTCTCTGCGGCTCCAGAGGCTGTCCAAAACCTGACTCAGGGCCTACTGTTTCCTCGCAACAGAAAATTCCTGTCCTCAAGCCCACTTAGACACCAAATTTCAGAGTGATACAGGCCTTCCCCAAAGGGTTTCAGCATCACAAAAGCTTCTCCCTGGATCCCAAGTTATGTTTTCTGAGAAGCAGTGACACCTGGTACTTTAGTTCTTTGACTGCCTCCAGAATGTGTCAGCCCTGGGCCTAAGGGGCGCGATCAGACCATGAGATCACCTTCTGTTCTCGGTTCTCCTATCATGTAACTCCAAGGCATATGATTTTAAATGTCAAGAACTCTTCCAAATTCTACTGCCAATTAAACCTACCATTCTCCTTTCTTCATGGGGAACATGATATGCGATGACCACAAACATCAGCCTTTTCAGAATTATACACAGGCTGCTATTGTTATGGGCTACCATAGGGGACCTTTAAGACAGATCTTTCCAGTGGGTGTGCATGTCTCCAAACTTGTGCTGTCCCCAACCTAGACACCAGACAGGCATGCACTGTGTCTTTAGAGAGTTCTGGAACAAGTGTCCAGGATTCCCATGAGCCAGGTTCCCATGAGCATTGGCACCAAGCTACAGAACAAGGAACCTCTGATCAAGGTCTTTACCAAGTTTAATGTGGATGAATTTTAAGACATGGTGGCTATGAAATGGCTCATCTTGGTGGCTATGGGGTCAGATACATCCTCCATCATAGCCCTGAACCAGTAGGAGGCCCTGTTCTCCTGAGGGCTTCCACAGCACTCTCTTCCTTCCTCATGCCCCTCAATATGACCTACTTCCAATAAAAAATAACTCCTCTAGTAGATTTTTGCCCTTCTTTGCCCTCTTTTTGAATGAGCTTAGAAGGGGTGTGGAAATGCCACCCCTTGAACCCGTGCTTACAGAGAGCGTTCCCACGTGCCTCAGTGGCAGGAGCAGGGAGCTGCTTTCCTGGCAGAGGCAGGGAATATGACCCATAAAGTCCCCCTGGACGACGCTAGGGATGTCTTCTTGCTCATTCCACCTGGGTCACCAAGTTTCTACTCCACTTCAGTTCTTACCAGAGTAGGTACTGGACTCTACACTTTAAGGAATAAAAGCCGAGTAAGGGGGCTGGGTTGTAGCTCAGTGGTGGAGCGCTCGCCTAGTGTGTGTGAGGCACTGGGCTCCATTCTCAGCACCACATACAAATAAATAAAATAAAGATCCATTGACAACTAAAAAATATAGATATTAAAAGAAAAAAAAATCTGAGTAAGCAGCAAGCCTACCCACCTCAGGGGCTCCTGTGGGGCACCTCAGGGGCAGACTGTGTGTAGAAGGTCATAATGCCCATGGCTACTGGGCTTGTGTATCAGCAGCAGGGCATTGATGTCAACATTGACCTAAAAAGAAATCTCAAACCTTCAACTCCAGCAATTACAAAAGGAGAAATTCCTCCTTCTAATTCAGTCTCAGAACGAATCTGGAAAATGGACTTTTCTTCCCCACTTTTGCTGCTTGTCTTCTCTGAGAGCAGCCCTTCCAATCTGACCCTCTTCCTGTCCACTTTCTCTGGGCTTGTCTGGTCCCCTCTGCTGGATTTTGTGCCTGGCTAGACCACTCAGGGCCAGGGTGTTTTTCTTCTTTAAGAGAATCCTAGGAGTTTTATGCAAGAGTGTGAGAATTTCTCCTTCACTGCGACTGTAGAAGGCAAAGCGAGGCCGAGACCTAAATAAAGGGAGACTCAGAGCCCTTCTCCCAGCTCTCCAGATGTATCATTTGGAATAAAGATGAGCTAAGGCAGAAGGGCAAAAGATGTTCTTTTGTTAATTGAAAGCAGTTGGGCAGAATAATAAAAGTCTTACAATTTATTTATTTTTTATTGGTTCTTTTTATACATGACAGAACAATCCATTGTGACATAATTATGGAAACATGGAATGCATCTTGTTCTAATTCAGATCCCAGTACCTCCACCTCCCCTTTGCTTCCCCCACCCTCTGCTCTCTTCCTTCTATTGATCTTTCTGCCATTTACTCATAGTTACTTTCTAAATTATTTTCTTATGGATGTACATGATGGTGAGATTCACTGTGGTATATTCATATATGTACACGGGAAAGTCATGTCAGATTCATTCCACTGTCTTTTCTCATCCCCTTCCCTTCCCTTCATTCCCCTTTGTCTAATCCACTGAACTTCCAATCCATCACCCACCCCCTGCCCTTTTGTGTGTTAGCAACCATATATCAGACAAAACATTCAGCCTTTGGTTTGAGGGGATTGGCTTATTTCACTTAGCATGAGAGTCTCCAGATTCATCCATTTACCAGCAAGTGCCATAAAAACATCTTATAATTTATAAAGCACCAAAAAATTTACATGAACACAAAGAAATATGGAAAACCATTCTAGATTTCATTAAAAAGGATTAGAGAAATATAAGTAAGACTTTTTCTATTTTTTATTGGTGCCTTACAGTTGCATGTAATAGTGGGATTTGTTGTTACATATTTATACATGTACATAATATAAATATATAATTTGACCAATATCATTCCATAGTATTTCCCATTTCCCTCTCTTCCTCCCTCCCCCGGTCTCTTTCCTCTACTCTACTGACCTCCCTTTGAATTTCATGAGATGCTCTCAACAACTTTCTTTTCCTTTTTCCTCTATACCTTCCACATATGAGAGAAAACATACTATCCTTGACTTTCTGAGTTTGGCTTATTTTGCTTAACATAATGTTCTCAAGTTCCATCCATTTTCCTGCAAATAACATAATTTTATTATTCTTTATGACTAAAGACAATGCCATTGTGTATATATATCACACTTTGTTTATCCACTCACCCATTACTAGATACCTAGGCTGGTTCCATAGTTTGGCTCTTATGAATTGTGCTGCTATAAACATAGGAATGCATATATCATTATAGTATGCTGGTTTTAATTCTTTAGGCTAAATATTGAGGAGTGGTATACCTGGGTAATATGGTATTTCCCTTCCTAGTCTTTTGAGAAACTTCCCTACTGATTTCCGTAGTGCTTGTACTAGTTTACTAATTTACCACCCCACCACAGTATTTATTATTATTTGTATCCATGATGGCTACCATTCTAACTAGAGTGAGATGAAATCTTAGTGTAGCTTTGATATGTATTTCCCTAACTGCTAAAGGTGTGAATATTTTTCATATATGTTTTGGCCATTTGTATTTCTTCTTTTGGAAAGTGTCTACTTAGTTCCTCTGCCCATTTATTTGGATTTTGGGGGGTTTTTTGTTTGTTTGTTTTGGTTTGGTTTTTGTTTTTGGTATTAGGTTTTCGAGTTCTTTATATATTCTGGCTGCCAGAAGAGTAGCCAGAAAAGATTTTCTTCCATTCTATATGTTCTCTCTTCACATTCTTCAGTGTTTCCTTTGCTGTGCAGAAGCTTTTTAATTCGATGCCATCCCATTTATTAACTCTAGTCATTACTTTCCTGAGCTTTAGAGGTTTTTATTGAGAAAGTTGTTGCCTGTGCCCATATGTTAGAGTATTAACTGTATATTTTCTTCTAGGAGTTGCAGTTTCTGGTAGAATCCCCAGGTCTTTGATCCATTTTGAGCTGACTTATGCAGAGGGTGAAGGAGAAGAATCTACAGAGGTTCTTGCACTAAACTTTCCAGTGAAGCCCCTCAGCTCTGCTTTATCTTTGTCCACAGAAGTGCTATCAAAGAGAGATCATCTTTGGCCACACGGGTCCTATGTCTTGACTGCAGGAGTCCTCTCCCTCTTTGTTCTCAACCTCTTCTCCAGGGGAAGGTTTTAGTGGTCTCCCCAGTCTCCGCTTCAATGTTTGCTAACTTCAGACCTATTTCCTTTCTTCAACCAGTCTTTTTGTACAAAGATTTTAAACCAAGCTGTTAAACCTTGACTGTACCTTAGAATCACCCTGAGAGTTTTACAGACCAATACCTGGGTCCCATGCCAGAATTCAGATTCCATTGGTTTGGGGTGAGCCCAGGCACTGCTTGTATGAAGCTTCTGGTGATGGAATGTGCAGGGAGGCCAAAAGCCCCTGTTGTAGGGCTGAGGCTTGGGTTTCCTCTCTGTATACTTTGCTTCCTCTCCCTCTTTGGCTTCTATGCGCTGTCCAGTCGCTATGGCTCAGAACCAAGGCCAGGATAACTTCAAAACCATGTCTTTCCCTGATTTAAGCAGTGCTCGGGGACCTGGTTCCTGGCCCAAATTTTATCCTTAGTGTCACCAGGCCCCAGGAGAAATGCTACCCTTAATTCTACTTAATGCTGTGAAGACATAACCACACTCTTGTATTCTAACAAGCCACACAATGGGGCTGTTACTCCATGTAAGTCTTGGGCATGTGTGACACTCCGGATGTGACTTGTTCCATTTATTTTAGTCTTCTTTCCCTGATCCTCAGCAGGTTTTTTTTTTTTTTAACCTTAAAGAAAAAAAGCTTCAAATATATCATAAAAATACTTTATTTTTCATGTTTATTTGATACAATTTTTGTTAGTCATTCTTTTAAAGATGCCTTTCTGTCTGAAAAAAGAAATGAATTGCTCTAGATGGCCCACTTCCAGATGCTAGAGGCAGACAGAGGTGGAGAGTGCTGTGCTAGGAGTGACCAGGTGACCTGGGCCTCTCCCAGTCATTTGCTAACTACATGCCCTGGTACAAAAGCCACTGATGCCCCTTCTCCCTTCTCTCAGTTATCCACAGGTTACTGTGAGAATCAAATAAGCCAGTATTTGTTAATGTGGTCTGGGAAAACATGTACATTTTAATCTTTCCATAACAGAATTTTTCCATCCTCATTCTCTGAGTTTTCCTTTTGATCTCTTTGGAAGCTTTGCTTACACTCATGGGATAGGAGCGCTTGCTAGGCTATAGGAAGTTTTTCTTTTGTTGGGAAGGATATTCTGCCATTCGTCTGCTGCTTTCTGGAAGTTCCATTTCAGAAGGAAGCCCTGGTGAGGTTCCATCCCGACATCTGCAAATCACATCCAGAGGGAAAATGTGACTCACCCGAGTTACTGTGTTAAGTTTTCATGGATATTATTCAGGGAGTAGGTGTTGTCTTTGGGCCAAATCACTTGAAATCATGACATCAGCCCTGTCACTGACTGACTATGCACCCACGGGAAGCATGGAGAAGGGTGGGCAATGTGGCAGGAGGTGAGAAAGGCCGCTTTCCTGGCCCTCCTGAAGTATTAGAGATAATGTAGTCAGAATATGAGGCGGTCCCCGGCGTTGGGTAGGAGAGCAATAAAGGAACCCACCAGCCACAGTGCTCTCATCAATAACGTTACACAAAATACAACTGCTAAGATGACTCAGCTCCTTGTGGAATGAGGAGAGACACAAACAAACCATACTTTAAGCTGCATGGATGGTAAACACATGAAATCCTTGCTCCCCACTTCTTTCTAGGGTACATCTCACCCCGCAAATG